GCTTGAATATCTATCAATTATAATTGGAACCACAAAGATAAATTAGTGTTTAAGTTAAATTATTGTTTAAAATTAGTGAACCCTATTTAAATATAATCTTATCATAATAAGTAATACTTTTAAATTTTGTAATTTTATAAATATTATAAAGTGAAAAATTAATGGATGAAAACTTTTTATTATACATATTTCTTAAGATGATTAATCAATAAATGCAAATTTAATAATTATTTTTACATCTGCATTAAAATCAAATATCACATGTAACAGTATAAAACATATAATATTAAGAAGTGAAAGATATATAGATGATCATATATTATGTATAATAATGTAAACAACTTCAACAGTTAAATTTTCATAATTCGCTTAGTAAGAATTAAATACAAAAAATGGTAATTTTCTATTATGAAGTATAAATATTTTAAAATAAGTTGAATAATAGAAATAGAAAATTTCTATTTATTTATTAATTACTATAGAAGACTTTTTTTGTTAAATATTTTAGGTACATCTTACATAGTAAATCCAAAGTAAATCATCTCATCAAATAAAGTAATTATAGTCACAATGTTTTGCAACAATTTTTTTGTAATATAATGTAGATGTTTCAAATATTTAATAACAAATGTAGATTGAAGTAAAAAAAATTGAAGTAATTTTAATATAGATTTGTTTTTATAAAATAATAAATCAATTTTGATAAAAATTAAGCTTTTATCACTGTAGTTACACTAGTTTTACATTGTAAATAGTTTTTTTATCCTGTCTATGGCATTAATATTTATTCTTGCTCGTTTAATAAAGAACAAAAAAAATAAAAATTCCATAATTAAAAATAAATTCCTATAATAAAATTATAACGAATTCTAAATAACATATAGCAAATTGGAATGAATTTGAAAACTATACTGTATAAAAATTAAAATATATATTTAGTGAATAATTGATTATTATTATAACAATTTAATTGATGTCTCTATTAATTTATATATTTTATTCTGAAACGTTAAAATTTTACACATTTATTATTAAACATAATCAAATTTTACGATATGTGTATTTAACTAAAATTCATAAAGTTGATATAAATATCTACTAGTAAATATGAGTATGTCTTGACACTTTATGCTGTAATCATATTTTCAGTACAGTTTAATATTTTTAGTTATATTCAATATAATAGCTCAAAAGTTAGATATTTTATTCTGCACTGTGATTGAGGAATGCTTTTAAAATATTTTATTATTTCTATATGTACATATAATAATAAGCGATAACGAATGACTCTTAATGTAAATAAAACAGAATATTTATCTTACTAATTTTTTATATGAACGTGTTTCTCATTAATAAGCGAATAGCAGTTTTTGTATTTTCCAATACATTTATTCAAATAATATTCAAATACATTTTTTTGAAAATTTTAGTTTTCCAAGAGAAAAGAAGATATAAAATGTGTAAAAATGGAATCATCTGAATTCGTGACTGCCACTATAGACACGAAATTCTCGAGGGGCGCAACGCTGACTATTAAATTTGAAGGAATCTTTATCGTTTAAGACCACTCAGAGATTCATTAAATCGAGTGCGATCCAATGCTTCTAAAGCCAAGCAAGAATTTTTTACAAATCTTCGGACGTCCCGTTAAATTTTTCACTCATCACTATGAGCGTCAGCTCTCCCAATTTTTTACTAATACTCTGGCTTTCTAGTTATCGGGATTTATGTTTATGTATAAATTGTCTACTAGTTTGAAGAATGTAATAGCTTTACATATAATTTGCTTTAGAATAATAATATTTAAATACATTATTATAAGCTTAAGGAAATATTTTTCTTTGTCATTATTTAAGTAGGTAAGTTGTAAAAATCATGAAATTTCTAATAAATACTACCGAGTGCGCGAGACAGGCGTTTAAAATAAAAATATAAATAGATATCACATTGTAAATTTTTTAAATTGGCCACTCTATATTCAAGTAAATTAATACTTTTAAAATATTCATATTATAAAATCCACTGTTATTTTAAATGAAACATATATATATATATATATATATCTATATAATCAATTTAATATTATTTGTTATTATCTAAAACTATCTGCAAATGCGAATTCAAGTAATTACTCCTTTTAAATGCTATAAGAAAATTAAACTTCATTTTTTAAATCGTATTCAGTGAAATGATAACAATTGATAAAACAACGTGAAATTTTTCTTAAAACTATGATTTTTCATTTATTTATCAACTAGTGATTAGCTGTCACGATAGATTCTTATTAAATGTATGAACAAATATGAAATAAATATTGAAAAAAAATAACTAGAGAAAATTTTCTTTTCAAAGCCATATGAATGCAAAGTTAAATCAAAGATTATTACATTAATATCCAATACTGAACCATTGCCTATTTTATTATTCAATCTTTATTTCTGGTTCCAATTGATAATTTCTTATTTCTGTTGAATTATTAAAATTCTATGAATATAATATTAATACTGTTTATATTAATTTTTAATATATTATTTTCATGTAGATATAACTGGATTAGCGAACAAAAAGAATTTGAAACAAAATTTTACCTCGTATAAATATAAAATAATACAGGCTTTTTTGCATCAAAGATCGATATTTAAAAATATTTTAGTTGTTGTTAATTTATTTCCGAAAACAACATCCAAGCAATAATCGTAATTTTGTATTAGTTACCTATATTACCAAGTCAGATACTAAGATTCTGATAGCATTTTTATCCTCGTTATTGTTCTTATAGGCTTTACTGGGATCTTTATAGAGCTAAATTTTTATATTCAGTAATACTTTGCAGATTATGCTTACAATTTTTCACAATTTCTGTGTGTATATACCTTCTAATATTAAAAAAAATAAGAAAAAAGATCTACAGAATAAATTTAATATTTTATTTATAAGCATTTTTAGAATTTTTTCAAATCATTTATTTTATGAAGTAAATCTTTTATTTTATGAAGTGAAAGAACATAAAAATATTTAATATTGTAAAAAATTATTGTATTTCGATTTTAAATTTTCTTTATTAAACGTAAAAATTTTTATTAATAATTTAAAAACAAATATTTTATATGACTGTTTTATAATAATAGTATTTAAAAATTGCGAAATAATTTTTACATTATATATTAAATATAATTATTTTATTTGCAACTATTTTAATATTATGAAAAACACGTTCTATTCTTTTATGAGTATTCTGTTACAAGAAAAAAAAATTGGTAAAAAAAAATAAAATGAAATTTATATTACTTACAAAATACTTTTATTAATCAGTATAGGGATTATATTGATTTAGTAACTTCATTTATTTTAGTAATTGTCCCTATTTAAATGTTGCAATTATAAAAGATTAACCGCGAAAATAGTTTTGCATCGTCTAATTTCAGCAAGAAAGTTTTTTCATATAGAAAACATCTGCCATGAATAACAAAAGTAATTCTTAAAATATAAATAAGAATTCGATATTATCTTAGATTTTTACGATACTATTTTAATCATAAAAGTCCATATTATCCATAAAATTAGAAGGAAAAAATAGAACAACATCTACTTTGTGTATAATTCTCTAAAAATATAAAATATTAATTTGCAGCATGTTTCACATAATAGCAATATAAAATATGCTCGAACAGAACTAATATTATTATTTGTAATTATAATGTATTACTTAGTTTATAAATTGATATATGTTTGTTTATAATTATAAAAGAAATTTTCATAAATGTCTTAATTATATGGAATATTGAATAAAATATATTTTAAGTATGAGAATTATTACTCCAACTCTCACTAATAATTTCAAAGTTTTTTCCTTTGGAATATTAAAATCAAAATTACATTGGGAATCAAAATGTCCTTTTTCAACATCTGTGTAATGGTTGTAAGATAATAATGAACGCCAAACGAGAGAGAAATCAAGGAGAGTGAAATAACGATTCTAAAAGAAACTTAAGAGACATTTCTTTAGATACGTCGCTTTGGTCGTAAATTTTTCTAAATAACCTGGAATTTTATTCATTCAGGATTTCCTTATTCCAGACTATATCAGTATATCAGTGTATAATTTTTTATTTTCCATTTAATTTTAGGTTGGTCAGAATGTTACTAAATTTTTTTTGTTAAATATTGATATTGCATTGAGAAAATAAACAATTTAATAGGAAAAACAAAAATATGAAACGCTAAATGCATTCATGCTCCATATATTTCAGTAAATAACAATAATCACATGAAATCTATAAATTTTTAATAAGTCGTATCTATAAATATATTAATTATACTATATTAACCAATCAACTGAATCAAATCATTAATATTTATAACATGCTTATGTTATAATTTAAAATACTTCTGAGAAATTAATACGGGATAATTAATCAATGATCATTTACAAAATTGTATTGCATTTCTAACCTACATCCTTTTAGCAAAATCATTTAATCTTGATAGATACAGCTTAACACATTAATAATGAACTATTACAGCGCTTGTGGCTAACATGGATTTATTTATATATTATAATATATTACAATTCAACGAATATTTGATTTAAAAATAATAAATAAGCATATATATTATAATTGACACTGCTTTTTTCCTTCTTATACTTAAATATATATATATATATATATATATATATATATATATATATATATATATATTTTTATACATATATATATATATATATATATATATATATATATATATATATATATATATATATATATATATATATATATAATATGGCGATAAAATCTAATTATACTTTGATAATTAATTGATAAATAAAAATAATTAACCCAAATATAAGAAAGTGTATCGTATATGCTTGTTTATTGTATATGCTAAGTTTATACTTGTATATTATATTTGTATTTATAATGAAATATAAACAAATTGAAAAAATGTCAAATTAAAAAAATATTACATATCCTTTTTTATTCAATAGTATTCAAAATTACCTGTCTTTTCTTCTCATGTTCATTTGGTGTGAAAGTAAATTCATAATTACTACCCTCGATGATTTTTGCATTATTAATGAAAACCTCCTCATAACCTCTCGATCCATGCCTTCGCGTAACCCACAATGGAGGATTTCCGTCAAGTTCCGAAGTCAATGACTGCGTAAATTGTTCGGTTTTTAGAGCTTGGTTTGCTATAAAATAATAATAATTTGAGCTTCACTATTTATTATGAAATTGCAATACATAATATCAACTATATTATAAAATGTAATATTAAATGTTTCTCAAAAATCGATAAATATATAAAATTATTAGTACGACAGATCAAACTAGTTATAACCAATTTTTTAATGTTATTTTATAGATTTGTAAATAATTCTTATTTTAGTGAATCATTATAAAAAATTAATAAATAATAGATTTTGTTTATTTTTTCTTAAGATGTGAAATATCGATTGACAATATTTAAACAAACTAGGAGTAAACTATAATGATTAATTAGGTAAGAAAAATAAGTCTTTTTCAAGATTTCTTATACGTATAATAGCAGGGCGTTTATAATATAATGAACATTTTGAATATGTCAACTTTAAGAAGACTTGAATGTATTATATATATTTAAGTGAATACAGAGGAATTTACGTTCTTATTATTTCGATTAATAAACTCGATTTGCTTGGTTTTTTTCTTCATATTACAAAATACATTTTACAAGTATAAATTGACATAAATTCATCTAGTTATTGAGATTACAGTATGAATGAAGAAAAATTAAATAGTAAAAGAAATATTCGAAATATAATTTTATGAACGAGAAATTGGAGTGCAGTAGTCGAATAATGTCCAAGAAAATATGATTCCATGTATTGGAAAAGCAGGGAAGAAAAATGAAAAGAGAGACGACTTTTCTAAGCGAATGTTAGGACAACTAAAATAAAGATTAGAATAAAGCCAGGAAGAAGGGAAGGACGAGAAGCGAAAACTCATTGAGCTGGTGTAAACCTCATTATCTCATTAGCCGCTCAACTCTCGTAATTTCCGTTTGTCCTCCCGGCCATTACAGAACAATACACGCTCATTAATGCATAGCACCAGAGTACATGTACGAATTAATCTTATAGCGATTCTTCAAGAACTGAATAATGTCACAGCTGGAAGTTGCATAAGATTGAAATGGTGAATACTACGTCATAACTAAAATACGTATAATAATAATAAAGGCTTCTAAGAATTAGCTTTGAATTAAGAATTTATTGTAATATTAATATACTTATGGTGTTACTCATTATATTATATATACACATTGATTACAATATAATTATATTATATATATAATATAATTATAATATATAATATAAATGAAATTACCATTTTTAATGTAATATGATTCCTTGTTATGCAATTAAAAATATGGCTAATTACGTGTTTATTTAGTAAATAAATGTTATTACGAGAAACTTAAAATTCTAATTTAAAATTTATCATTAAAGAAATATATGATATTGAATAAAATACATATGCTATTAATGCTGATTAAAGTATCAATATTGGTTATCTTAATAAGATTATATAATTAATTTAATTCAAATATTATTAAGATAATTGAAAATAGTTTTTTTCATAAATAATAATTGATAATTGAATGCTGATTGTCTTTATTTTAAATAGATTGAATAGTATATTTATATACAATAACATATATATGCAAATAAATATTCGATATAATTTTATTAAATATTAGAAATTATAGTATTAAGAACAGCGTAAATATACTTATGATAAGTAAATCAAATACAAAAATTTAAATAATATTAAATACTATAATCACTGTATGATACTTTATATTTTTAAAAGTTAGTTAATGTAATGTAAAATGTTGTAACAAATAAAAGTCTCGAGAATTTTCAAAATACAAGTGGATTTGGTTTACAAGAGCCCAGTGCAGCAATATAATAAGATTCCTAACATTTTACTTTCCTAATCGGGTAATCATTTATTTTCATGAGGCATTAACATTGACTTTGATCGAATATTAAAAGGTTACTATATTCATTTCTTAAAAATTTTATATCTAAACAAATCTCTAGTGTAAATACGTAAAAATAAGTTTCATATTAAATTCAAAATTCATATTATTATGGATGCATTACCACTTATTCAATATGATATAAGCCCAATACAGAAATACATTCGCACACGCATACGAGGTTAGATATATGAGGAAGAGATAGCTTTCGAAAAATGCTGAGGCTAAAGAAGGAAAAGAAAATTCAATCTGGCTAAAAGCTATGACGAGAGGATTGCCGCGATATATATGGAGCAATAGTAACGTTGCAGAAGATCGTCTATCTTGCCAATTTTTGCTTCATTATAATGTCACATACTGACAAGGTTATAGCTATATGATAATTGAGGTTTTTCTTGACATCTTAATCAATTCATTTTTCAAAAAAAAATTTATTTTAGTACGGTTGCTTACAGGAGGTGAGAAAAAAAATCATGATTTTCAAAAGCATTTTTATATTTCTCATTAAATAGTTTTATTCAAATAAAAATAATATTACTATAAAAGTTACAAAATCACTAATTAAATTACTGTACCGAGATTTAATAAAACGTTATTTATAACATTTTAAAATTTTTCAAAAGATCGATACTACCCAAGAGAAAATTTTTAATATTTTTATATCAGCTAGCACGCTGAAGCCTTACCTACAAATAGAGCGGATTTTACAAGATTCTGGTTTGAAAGACATGAACCAGGGGGATGGAGTAATATTCAAATAAAAGAATGCAGTTTGGTTATTACGTCTGAGTCGCAGGCTGCGAGATGAAATATACAGTCGCTCATAACATAGAGGTAGTAAAAAAAGTTGAAATGCGACGGTCCGAATGCTCTCAGACATTGGCAAAATCATTGACGGATCGAAAGGAATCCTTCACTCCCCCTGTCAATTTTCGATTAAAAAGTAGGACTGCTCAAATCACGCATTTTCCGTCCGAAGAGTCTATCCCGTCTGACACTCTCCATTATCTTTCGTTAACATTTTCTTACATATTCGTAATTGTCAGTGACTGCAACAGTCCTAATAATAAGAACTATAAAGTTTTATAATTAAAATAGTTTTAATTTCGTTTTAAAAATATTGCTCTACTAATACAAGGGAATATTTTTACTTATAAAATATATTGTGTTTTAATGAATATTGTGTAACAATTCTTTTAAGGATGTAGATTAGCATTGTATTTATAAGAGAAAATTTTGTAGCTTAAAATATTTAATAAAATATGGTTAAATTTTATAAAGCTTAAGTAACTATTATTATTAACTACTATTATTTTTTCAAAGATTATACAAATTCATTACAATGTAATTATAAAAATAATCATAAGGCATAAGAAAATATAGATTAAAAAAGATTTTAAAAATTAAAAAATTAATTTGTCTTATTTTTATGTATTTGTTTTTATTGTTAATAAAACCTTTGTTCTATATAAATATATTATTAGAATATACTCTAAATATTATTTATACTATATTATGTTTATTTTTTATTTGTATTAATTATTATTAATATTATTATTAATTATTAATATTTATTTATATTATGCATAAATAAAATTTCCTTAAAATTTCTGAAAATGTATTCTATATCTTTATATAATTGTACAGATAAATGTATATAATTTCGTCTGTACAGTAGCATATTATAAAATAATAAATTATTATAATTCAAATTATTTACTTGAGCTTTATTTTCATTTGATAGTCAAAACTCATTGAATTCGTATAAAATAATTTATGAGCGCTATATTACACACTGATAGAAAACTAAAATAAAAGAACTTAGCTAATTTATAGGGTAGGAAAATATTCTTCACTACGAACCTCACAAATAATTGCAGAATGGCTACATGATCTGTCGAATTTTCCCAAATTAGAATTTCATAATAAAGAAGTCGCGTCGGAAAAATTTATCGTCCTTGCCAATTGAAATGATTTATAGTATTGAATTAAAAAGAGAATCTCATAAATTATACACCAGCCTTCCCTAAGCATTTTCATGACTTGTCTATTAATTGAACAATTTTAATACTACTTTATTGCATTTGATTAAATTTAAAATGCATCGATTTTAATTACGCCCGGTTGATATATTACATTATGTTATGTTCTGAAGGCTTACTAAATAATAATTCGCACAATTACATTCGATGTTTATTATTTGATTATAAAACTTACTATCTGAACACATAGATCCACTCTGTTTTAAAACCGAGCTCATGCAAATGAAAATATGACCGATCATTTCGCATTTTTAGAAATAATTTACTTCGATGAATAAATAGCTCTCGCAGCGAAATACTCGATATCAATGTAATTAAAGTTCATCTCATGCCAAGCCACGCCATCACTCATCTCAAAATATTTCGCGCTATTTATCAGAGTACCCAGTGCTTAAACTTATCTCATAAATAAGCTCACGCATGAAGAGCTTTTGGATTAGTGACCAGCAAAGAGCCTCGCCCCAGACGATATGCACTTGTCGTCACCTTCTAGTGATCGCCGCTCTCCTCTATCGCCGTCAGATTATACGCAATCTATCAAGGCACTTTTGTGGTTGGATGGGGTTGCGCTGGTTCGTAGACTTATCAAACAAAACTGAACTGTAGTCCTCTTCAACTTTCAGCATAGCTTTAACCATACGTACATAGCATTATGAAACTATTTACTGCGTCCGTTGTCTAGGATACATCTGTAGTATGGGATTTCTAGTATAGGATATTGAATACTATACTGTAAGCACATAAACTATTCGATGATGATTAATAAAAAAACTTTTTACAATTTGTTATTCAATTTATAAGCAGTATGCATTTACAAACGTATACTTTACCACTGTTTTATTTAATATATTTTTCTTAAATTTCTTTACATTTATTACCGTGTATTTATTTTTCTATTTTTTTTAATTCAAAGGCATTAATCTATAAATAATAAAGTTGAATGCTATCGGCTTATAGGATTGAATTATTTAATTTAACTTTGAAAAAATATTCGTCTTCTTAACTGTTGATACCCATTCAAAAATTCTATATTTACATACATGTATTTGTTTTCTAGTAAGCCAATGTAGATTTTATTATGACATTTTCGTTTGATTAATGTGGATTAAGCTTAAAACTAATT